TTGGAACATTATAGGATCAATGAAGAACATACTTGTCTTTCACTGGAAACTTTGTAGTTGCTTGAAGGAAGAATATGGCTTTAGTTCTGTAGCCAAGTGGACTAGTTCGTAGTCCCCCTGTGAACTAGAGGTGCCCTGACCGCGTCACAGGCACAGCTACACAGCCCTGCTCTAGAGAAAGACAGCCTATGTCACATTAGGGCATGAAGGGACACTGCCTCATATCAAACCAATTGGGCATGAAAAGGACAGGAAAGGGCTGAGCCATCAAGTTGGAGTTCAGACTTTGCAATCAGGAAAGGCGTCCTCAATGAAGGGTGCAGAGAAGCTAGGAGTGGCTTGATACTTTTCAGTCCGAGGGAACTTCCCTCCCCTCTCTGGATGAGGAATGGGACTTAGTGTTCCCCAGCACCTCAGCAAGAGTAGGATGCAGTTTTGAATCCAAAGTTGTCAAGAAGGGATAACTTGAACTGAACATCTGCTGTAACCATCTCTCCATGTTATCTCTGGAGGCAACTAAACATTTTCAGTGTATCAAACAGTTTATCATTCCGTTTAAAATAGCCTCCTTCCTGTCCCAGGGTAATTCAAGAAGTATTGCTGCAAAATCACAGAAACCCCAATTAAACAAAAATGGGAAGCCATTGTTACTGTATACACTTCTGAAACTGGTGGCTATCGGGTGGATGCGGGAAGGAGCCCCAACAAAATTCCTCTCCGACAGCCCTTGTGTCCATGGACGAATGAGCAGATGCACTTGTCGTCATGGGAAAACTTCTCTCTGCAACTCTCCTGACCGTTTATCACCTCTGCAGTTCTCAGCTTTCTTAAAACTTCTCATAAGACCCCCTCGTGGTCCTGTATCCTTGGAGAAGATGATTACTCCTTTGGGATTCCAAAAAGCAGTCATCGCCATCTGGGCTGACCTCTACCTTGATTTGAATCGGCCCAGCAGATCCCCTTAGAAGCCACGGTTTTTATTGGAACTGCTCTCAGGATTGCATTGGCAACCTGGTTATGCTTCGTTCCAAGAAATTGCCTTCATGTGCTTCCACTTTGCTTAAAAGACTGATGAGTTAGCTGATCTTTTTGTAACACTTTTGACATCCACTCAGCCAACAACGTCTTGAGGCCCGGATGTTCACTTACCACTGAGATCTCAGCTTCAGTAACTATACATCAGT